TGGGGCTCCTTTTCTCTAAATATCTTATTTCTTCTCTAAAAAAGAACCTGCCCTTGGGGCGCCTGGGTGGCTCAGTCGGTTAAGTGTCTGCCTTCAGCTCAGGTCATGATCCCATGGTCCTGGGATTGAGCCCTGCTTTGGGCTCCCTGCTCAACGGGAGTCTGTTTCTCGCTCTCCTGCCTCTCCTCCCAGCTTGTGCATGCTCTCTCTCTCAAATAAATAAGTAAAATCTTAACCAAAAAAAGAAAAAAAAAAAAAGAACCTGCCCTTGGTCATACCTAACCATTTTCTGCTGGGTGCCTTTGTCCTTGTGTGTTTTAGTTGTTCATTAACTGCTTCCTGGAAAAAAAAAAAAAATTCAGCACCTGCTTCCCAAAAAGGATGAAGAGGTTACATATTTTTTAATGGACTGTTAACTCAATTAATATGATTTTGCTATGGTATCTTTCTAAAAACTTTAAATGAATTTGCATATGGATAGTGTGATGAATGGAGCCAAAAGCTAACTGGTTTAGTTGGGTATTAGTTACTACCCAGATTTTTGGGAGACTGTGTATCCAGAACCAAATCTAGATAATCAGACCTGTGGTATGCCTGGCCACAAAAGGCCAGGCAGAGGTCAAGTATTGAAATGTCATATGGAGGCCACCTAACCGAAGGAGGTCTTGGCATGAGACCGTGGGAGTCTCTGCCCCTGGCTGCTTCTATTTGACTACAGAGGCATGGTGCTTGCAAAGCTTTTAAAAACTTGTTTCATGTTTTTAAAATCCTTGGGAGCTACAGAGTGGGTGTTGAGACCAGAAAGTCTGCTTCCTGAAGTGTTTATGCGAAGAATCATTTTTGGAGTTATGTGGAATGGAATTGGGTCTGACGTCAATTCCCAGTGTGCCTTCTCTCCCCTGGAGGAATAGCCCATATGTAGAGACAGATGTGAGACTCTTTTACATATAAATAATGCGAGGAGAGAATGGGAACAGTACTGTGAGTTAGAGTTGGGGGGAAGGACAGAGTTTACTGCAGGCTAGAAATGAACAAGTTGTTCTTAAAGGTACTTTTTTTAAACCTTCAGTTGTGTATAACCCATAAGCTTAAATGTGCACAAAACGCAAGTGTACAGTAATCAACAATATTAGAGCCAGGTACCTGTGTAAGCATCACCAAGGTCAAATACTAGAGCATTGCTCCCAACCAGAACTCCCGCAGCAACTCCTTTTGATCACTACCTACTCCCTTCCTCAGGGGAACTCAACTGACTTTTTATGGTAATAATTTACCTGCTTTTCTCTTTAGATTTACCGCTTTTATATGCATTCCTAAACGATTTAAATTAGTTTTGACTGTTTTAGAACTTTCATATACATGGAATCATAACTGTATTTTTTTGGAGGGGTCTTGATCTTTTCCCTCAACACTTTGTTAGTAATAATCGCGTATGTTGTTGCAGATAGCCGTAGTTTGTTCTCTTTTGTTACTGTATAGTATATCCTTGTGTGAATGACTATACCACAGTGTATTATTTTACCGTTGATGGATGTTTGCTTGTTTCCAGTCTGGGCCAACTGCAAATAAAGCATTGAACATTCTTGAATTGTCTTTTGGCGCATGTATTTCTGTTGGATATATATTAGCTTGCACCACAGTGAAATTACCAATTTTGTGGATTAAATAGTGAAATATTAATTATTTCATATGGTTCAGTCTAAAACCTGGGGGTACAAATGTTGGATCATAGCAAATGTTATATGTTCAATTTTTGTAGATTGTGTGAAATAATTTTCTAAAAATCTTGTACCAATCTGATCTCCTCTCAGCAATGAGTAGAGTTGCTCTACATTCTGGCCAACACTTGGTATTGTAAGTTTTCATTGTGATTTTGTTTGCATTTCCTTGATTACTAATGAGGTTGAACACTTGTTCATTTGTTTTTGGCCATTTAGATTTCTTCTTATGAAGTAAAGTCATTTGCCCATTTTTCTATTGGGTGGTCTTTTTCTTGCTGACTAGAAGGTATTATTTATATATTCTAGATATGAATCCTTGATGGTTAAATGTGTTACATATTTCTTCTGCCATTCTGTGGCTCGTCTCTTCGCTCTCATAAGGGTGTCTTTGATGAATAGATATTTTAATGTAGTCAAATTTATCCTTTTTTTTGTAGTTAATACTTTTTGTGTCTTGTCTAAAAAGACTTCTGTAAGATCTTGAAGATCTTCTCCAATGTTATCTTCCAAGAGCTTTGTAATTTTGCCTTTTTCATTTAGTTCTGTAATCCATCTGAAGTTGGTTTTTGTGAGTGGAGTGAGGTTGAGGTCTAATTTTACCCTCAGTGGATACCCAGTTGTTTCAGCACCAGTCAGTGAAGAGCCCATCCTTTCCCCACTGAACTGAGGTGTCACTCTGTCATAAATCAGGGTCCATGTTGCCTGCATCCATTCTAGGTTCTATTCCCTTCATTAGTCTCTCAGTCTATTTCTGCATTAAACACTTCTTGTCTTAATTACTCTAAATTTATAGCAAGTAAGCCCACCACCTTGCTTTTCTTTCCTAATGGTACTTTGGCTGTCCTTGTCCTTGTACATTTCCATATACATTTTGGAATGAGTTTATCAAGTTTCATCAAAAAAATCTGATGGGATTTTTGAGATTGCATTTACTATATTGATCAACTTATTTAGGCTTTACATCTTTATAACAGTGATTGATTAGGAATAAGGTTTATCTCTCCATTTAATACTATATTGTCAAAAATTTTTTTGAGATTAAAATTCATCATTTCAACAAATTTTTATCGTGATAAAATTTACCACTTTAACCATTTTGAGGATACAATTCAGTGGCATTAAACATATTCCCAGTGTTATATAATCACCTCCACTCTATCTCTAGACCTTTTTAATAATCTCAGACTGAAAGTTGGTACTCATTAGATAGTTTTTTAATCCATTCTTCCATGATGGACTTTGGGGTTATTTTTACCTTTTGTCTATTGTGAATAATGCCACTGTGAACATTGGGATATAAATACCTGTTTTGAGTCCCTGCTTTCAATTCTTTTGGGTACATAGCTAGAAATGGAGTTGCTGGATCTTAGGGTAAGCAATGATTTTAAAGTGCACTATTCAGTGGTGTTTAGTACATTCATACTGTTGTGAGGCCATAACCACCATCTAATTTCAGAACATTTTCATCCTCCCCCCACCTCTCACCCCTCACCCCAGGAAAACCCCATACCCATTAAGCAGTCACTTCCCCAGTCCTTAGCAACCACTAATCTGCTTTCTGTCTCAATGGATTTCTCTGTTCTGGACATTTCATGTAAATGGAGTCACATCACATGTGGTCTTTTGTGGCTGGCTTCTTTCACTTGGCATCATGTTTTCAAGGTTCATCCATGTTATGCAATGTATCCTTTTTAAGATTGAATAATATTTCATTGCATGTATTTACCACATTTTAATTATATGAATATACCACATTATAAATTGATCAGTTGGCAAACATTTGTCAATAAAATTCTGTAATTTTTTATAGAGGACTTTCCCATATTTTTGTTAGATTTATTCCAAGGCATATGTTTTCAAATTCTCGTGAATTATATTTTTATAATATAATTTGAAAATACATAATTTAAAAACATTTTCTATATTGTCAATTGTTCTATAGGAATATATGACATTGATTTTTACATCCTATAAATCTAAAGTTTGATAAACTCTGAATTCCAAGAATTTATTAGGCAACCAGATTTTATATATACCAGTCATATCATTGTGATGAATGAGTTTTATTATCTCTTTCCATTTCTTCTCTCATTTCTTTCTCTGGTATACCTTACCCTGGTGACTGGAATCTCTAGTACAGTGTTGAATAGAGTAGTGATAAGTCTTGACTGATTCCTGATCTCAAGGGAAAAGCTTTCAACCCTTTACCATTAATACGAGATTTGCTGTAGACCTATTCATGTTTCCAATGGCCTGTATCTTGGCTGATACCTGGCATTCTAAGAGGACTCTTTATTGGTTTTAATTTGTAAAAAACATTTAGTTGAGCTCCTGAGAGCACTTTCCCTCTGATTCAGTCATTTGGGGCAGTCTTGATATGACTTTTGAAGTCACACTGACTTGGGTCCAGATCTGGCTCTGTCATATACTTGTGATTTTGGTTAGGACTATAAATTTTTTTAGTTGGAAAGGAACTATTTAACAGCAGTGGCAGCCTTCAGATTTTGTAGCATGTTCCATTGAATTAATCAATTTTGTGAGAAGCACAGTACTGATATAGGTTTAAATGAAATGTATTAATATTCTCTTATAATTAGCTATGGTGCTGTGATGTATCCATGTTGTAAGCAACTGGATGACTACAGTTTTGCTAATAGTTGCTACATATTTTTTGTAACCTTCTCCACTCTCACAGTTCTGATATCTCAGTTTTACTGATCTTTTGCTGCAATGGCAGTTCCCATGTCTCTGTCATTTCTCTTGAATTGTTGAAAGAGATGATGATCCGTGATAGTGCTGTACTACTTCTGAGGTGTAGGGTGACCTCACATGGCTCTGTCTGCAGAGATGGGGCTTCCTCACACATTAGCATGTGTTTAGGTGATGGCCTTTTAATCTCTGAGATATAAGTGGTAGATTGGAAGGGAATGATAGTAGAAGAAGAGTGTTTTTTTCAGTAGGTTGTGGACTCATGCTAGCTTCAGAAGTGTCTGTGAGGCCAGAGGAACCCAATACCCAAACTAGGGTCAGAACTCCCAAAGTTTACATATATATTTGGCTAGGTGGGTGCATGTCTCACCCCTGCAACCAGGAGCCTGAATAATTCCCCAGAACCCAGCACTCTTACCTGAAGGGAAAGAGCACAGGTAATACTGTCCAAGGACTTGGAGGTTTGTGTTTCTGAAACCCTGTGGGAATTTTTAGGATTGTAATTGATGTTCCTTATCCTGAAAAGACCTTTGCAGTTACTAATGAAGGGTTGGCCTTTCTCCATTGCAGATTGACATCAGTAAATGCCATTATTTAGTGGATTTGGACACCATGAGAGAAACACCCCGGGAGCCGAAATATTCATCAAATAGAGAAGAATGGATCAGCTTGGCCTACAGACCATTCCTTGATGCTTCTAGGTATGTGGCTAGAGATGTACTAGGACTAGTAAGGGTGAAAATTAGAATCTTGATTGAATAACTTCCAGTCCTGGGCTGACTGTAATAGCCATCATTTCCTTTTATTTTTATTTGGGCCCAAACACATCTTCTATTCTTGTCCAGTTTCCTGAGAAATCTAAAAGAGTGCTCTCTTTTTCTAGGCACTGAATGCAAAGTTTATTCGGGTATCATCCAAATAAAAGAATCTAACTAAAACAGATCCACTGAAGACAATGCAAATAAATGTGTGACATGGATTACTTTTGGCAATCAACTTCAATTGTCTTACTGAGAGTATTATAACACTGTTAGGAAGATTGACTATGTCCTTTAAAGAGCTAGAAGTTCATATCCATTATTATTATTATTTTTTAAAGATTTTATTTATTTTTCAACAGAGAGAGACAGCGAGAGAGGGAACACAAGCAGGGGGAGTGGGAGAGGCAGAAGCAGACTTCCTGCTGAGCAGGGAGCCCGACGTGGGACTTGATCCCAGGACCCGGGGATCATGATCGGAGCTAAAGGCAGATGCTTAACGACTGAGCCACCCAGGCGCCCGCATTTCCATTATTTTTAGGATCAAGCTTCAGTCAAGGAAGGAACAGGCCTTACTCGATCTTAAATAGAGGGACCAAAGAGACCAGGGCTTGTCTGGCTCTTCAGAAGGGCCTAAGAACTGATGACAAGAGAGGAGTTAGGACATTCAGGTGAAGGAGTAATGGGGTTGAGTTGGAAGAGTCAGGTGATTTGTGGGTAGAGGTCCAGGGATGCCTGGTGGGCAGAGTCCAGGCAGAAAGCAAAAGGTAGAGGACCAGGTCCTGAGAGGCAGGTCTGGGACTCAGAAACAGGGAAGAAGATGTTTTTAGGAGGAGGGAGTGCTCAGAAGCTGCTGATAAAGTTGAATAAAGTTGTCCATAAAAAATAAAAGTCCAATTGGGTTAGGCAGCCAATAAAAGCAATTTTGGTGGAGTGGTAGGGGCATGGTGACTTGAGAGATGAGGGGGATGAGAGCAAAAGCAGAATTGGAGATGGTGAACATAGAGAAGTCTTTGAAGAGTTCTGCTCTGAAGGGAAGCAGAGAAACAGCCGTCGCTGGTAGTGGGTACTATAGGGAAAGTGATGATGAGAGAAGATTTTATCCTTTAAATCTTTTTAAAATTGTGATAGTATATATACAATATACATGTATGTGTGTGTGTATATGTATTTATATATATATATAAACACAGAATTTGCCATTTTAGGGGCGCCTGGGTGGTTCAGTCGGTTGAGCGTCTGCCCTCGGCTTGGGTCGTGATCCCAGGGTCCTGGGATTGAGCCCCATGTTGGGCTCCCTGCTCGGTGGAGAGTCTGCTGCTCTCTCTCCTGCTCACCCTGCTTGTGCGCTCTCTCTCTCTGTCAAATAAATTAAATCTTTAAAAAAAAAAAATTGCCATTTTAACTATTTTAAGTGTACAATTCAGTGGCATTAATTATATTTACAGTGTGGTGCAATCATTACCATTATCTTTTTTTTTTAAAAAATTACCGTGTACGTTTTGTAAGTTTAAAGTGTACACATGTTGGTTTGATACATTCATGTATTGCCGTATGATTATGACAGTTGCATCAGCTAACACCTTTATCATGTCACATATTCGTTATTTCTTGTTTCTGTTGAGAATGCCATTATCTATTGTCTATTTCAATAACAATCACGTTTGTATGCTGATGGAAATGATCTCTTAGCTGAAAATTGATCATGTAGGAGAAAGGAATGAATTGCTGGAGCAGCGCCCTTGAGGTGGGTGAGAGGAAACATACCTGTAAGTAGAGGAGATGTTTTGGATAGGTGGGCAGTAGATAGATCCTCTCTCTGCAGTGATGAAGAGGTTCTGTATCTACACTGTCCAGTATAGGAGCCACAAGCTGCATGTAGCTATTAAGCATTTGAAATGTGACTACTCTGCATGAGGAACTGAATTTTTAATTTTATTTAATCTTAAATAGCCACACATACCTGCTAGATAGAGCAGAGTAGGAACTGGCAGCAGGCTGGTGTGATAATAGGAGTCTGGAAGTTCTCCTCTGATGGCCTCTGTTTTCTCGGTGAAGCAGGAAGTAGGATTATCAGATGAGAAGGGACTATATGGGGATGAGATGTTGGAGATTTGAGGAGAGGGAAATAATTGAGGAGAGTAGGAGACAAAAGGAGCTCAAGAAATACAGTATGATTGGAAGACAGGATCAAGAACCCACATGAGCTTTAAGTGGGGCCAGTGTGGTTGCTTTTTTCTTCTCCAGCTGTAGAGATAGCCCTGGTGCTGAATCACAGAACAGGTGAATTTAACCAGAGTTGTTGTTTTTAAATTTTTTAAAACAAATTTGTAGAAGTATAATTTACATACCATAAAATCCACCCATTTTAAGTGTACAACTCAATAATTTTTAGTAAATTTACCAAGTTGTATGTATATAAATGGAATTATATGTGAGGTTCTGTATCTGGTTTCGTTCACTTTGCATGTTTTGGAGATTCATTCATGTTATAGCATGTATCAGTCGGTGTTTGTTGTTGAATACTATTCCATTATATGGATATAAGCATTTTGTTTACCTCTTCCCCAGTTGATGGATACTTGGGTTAGTTTTACTTTTTGGCTATTGTGAATAATGCTGTGCACATTTGTGCACCCATTTTTGTGTGCAGGGTTGGGTTTAGGCCAAAAAGTTCAACAAAGCATGAAGGGGGTAAGCGAGTTGAGTTTATGGCAGAGAGTGGTCGTGGCCATAAGTTGGGTGAGGAGGGGCGGGGGCGCTGAGGGAGTGGAGGGCCATGAGAGGTGGTGGGATGGTGGATTGATATTCATACATGGTCAGATTGGGCCAGTAATAGGACAGAACTGGAGGGAGAAGCAGCAGTGATGTTGTGAAGCTCTCTGCATCATACATGTTCTTAGTTATTGTTATTTGATGTAGTACTTGGGCTAGGTCGCTATTGGGCCTTCTATTTTGATTGAGAAAACTGTGACAACATGAGATCTGGCCCTGGGAAGATCTCCAGCTCTGAGAGGACAGCAGATCCCGAGCAACCTTCCTGTTAGCAAAGGGAAACTGAATGGTTCACAAATACTGACCAGCAGTACATTGGCTACAGAATGAACTCTGTTAATAGCAAATGGGGCAAGGGGGTAATTTTCAGGTGACTTTTTTTCCCCTTTGGTTTTGAAGGGTTGAAATGAGAAGGGCCACCCATCTACCCATTAACCCTTTTGGTGGCCTCCTAGAACCGCAGCTGGTGCACATAAACGGAGAGCCTTTGGGACAAGGCAAAAAAGCATGCTCGTATAGTTCCCGTGTGAGAATTTGAAATCTCTTGAAGAAAGAGTGGAAGGTGTTGGTCACCTTCCCACCTGCCTTGTGGTGAGCAGAGGGTGGCTGGAGAACCTTGTACAGCCATACAAGTGTGGTGGCTCCTCGGTGTTCAGTCCCAGCCATCATTTCCAGAGATGCTGCTTGCTGTTGCCCACTGAGCCTTCTGCTTCCCTAACAAGCTAGATGTTCAGGCCAGAAATAAAGCATAATGGGCTCAATTTGATCAACATTTACTGAATATCTTCTACATTTAAGACTTTACACTGTGTGCAGACAAGACTGCTGCCTAGGGGAGTTTATGGTAAACCTGGGGAGAAACCCCACCTTGGGGAGGCGCTATCCAAGCATAGGAGAGATGGGGCAATTCCAAAAAGGCTAGGTGGGAGAGGCCAAGGAAGATGCCAAGAGGAGGTGACATCTGAGGATTGCATTGGTGATTGTGTAGGAGGTGGACTGGAAGGAGGGAAAGTTGGAAGCATAGAAACAAGTTAGGAGACGATTCTGGTTGGCTAGATGAGAGGCAGCGAGGGAGTGAACTCCACCGCAGAGGAGGGATAGACTCACGAGATGCAGGGTGTCAGGAAGATCAGGCCAAAATTTACCCGGAACCCCACGACTTTCACAGTGGCCTGTATCTACGTATTTAACATTCTCCTTTGCTGTATCAAAAGTGTTGTGGATTGCTTTCTGTAGCAGGGCTGGTCCCTGAGCAGAAGCTTTTGCAGGTTTGAGCAGAACTTGCTGGAGCGACGGACCCTAAACTTACCTCATCGTATGTCCTGTTTGTCCTGTCGGTCCCTGCTGCTGCTTCATTTCCCCTCCGCCCACTCCGCACACCTCTAGTGCAGCGGAGGGAGGGAGGTTAGTGGAGAATGCCTTCAGAGGTTTTTCACTTCCCGTAAATTTTACTTGTTTCCCATAAATTGGCATGCTTTTCATGACCATATGCTGAGAAAGAAAAAAGTCTGGTTTAAGAACTGGAAAGGTACAGTTCACGTGAAGGTGTACAGAGAAGAGAGCAAGGGGTCAGAAGATGTGACTTGCTGGTTGTTCCTCTCTGATTCCAGATTTCCATGCTAGAACAGAGATGATAATATTTTATCTTCTTCATGGGAATGTTGTAAGGATTAAATGAGAGTGGAAATATGAAGGTGTTTTTAAATTCTAAAGCATTGTATAAATGTCAGGCTTTTCAATTAATTAGCAGGCAGCCTAGGGTTCCAAAATTATGCTGATTTTCTTTCTCTTCCTCAGCATTTCCTAGTATATATTGATGTCACTGCAAAAACAGTGGGAGCCCACAGCCCAGTCTTGCCACAGCAGTTTATAACTGTCAGTATGGTGACATCTCATTTTGTGGACTTGGGACAGTTAAGCTGGACTCTACTGTGAGGGGCTGTGCACCTCAGAGCTACCACTCTGAGGTGGTGCACAGAATGCTCTTGGGAGCTTGATCCTGGATCGCTTCCCAGCCTGCTCACTGGGGCTGTTACATTTCCTCTGACTTCTTGAGACCATGGCTTTTGTACTTCAGCAATTTATGTAACAGGGAGAAATGTGGTACCATCTGCACGAGATGGTCACCAATGTCTTTGACCCTAGACTGGATGGGACTGCAGGCCTAA